GAATAGAGCAAAAAATTAGCAAAAAATAGCCCTTCAAGAATATGTACTTGATTTTTCATTTGCTGCTTTTTTTCTTTGTGGCTGTGCTAACTTTGATTTTAAGCTAGCACAGCCATGGGTTTTAGCGAATCGGCTGGAGCAAAAAAATCGGGAATAGAGCAAAAAATTAGCAAAAAAATAGCAAAAAAATGTGGTATAGGTCGCGTTTGATTGTGCTGAAGTGGCTGTGCCAGCTTAATAGACGTCAAATATTTGTTAATTCAAACAAATAACACGTTGATATGATTCACGTATATTTAACTTAAATAATATATAAACATACTTGAATTAAATAATTTGAATTAAATTAAAGAAATTTGGCATCGCGTTTCCAGCATTCAAAAATTTGTAAGAAGTACCTTGTCTGGTTCAAAATAATTTTTTTGCCGTAAACCAATATCATTTTTAGAGCATTAAACGCGTAATCAAGGACAAAATTTAATTGCCAAATGTGTAACGAAGAATAAGAGTTAATCGAGTGAACACTAGCCACGGGCAAATGTAATAATCGCAAATGCGATACGCATATATATAGATATATAATGCGGAGCATATATATCTACGGTTTGTTTCTCCTCTCATCTCTCATGGACGGATCTTGTTACAACACGAACCTCGGGGACGATGGCTTTCTCGAGAATCATGACCTCGCGTCTGCTTCGAAGGCTTGCTGCTAACCATTTTTTATTTTCACTACTTAACTCGGCGACGCAAAATCACGTCAATAAATGAACACCGTTAACGTCACTTTTCGCGACGTCTTCACTGACGCAAAGAGAATCGACATTAATTCGAATAAACGTCAGATTAGTCATATCTTTCGACACGCATAATTATGTGAATTATTTTATTAACATATCACTTCACCTATCTTATTCTGTTTTATGAATTGAAATGGAACTGATATTTTTTATAGCGTATCTTTAGATGCATCGTGACAATCGTAACGAAATAGTTGCGACAATGCGTCAATCATTTTTTTTATATTTTAAATAATATTTTTATTTTATTGTTTGGTTAAGTAAAAGAAGTTATGATAAATAAAAAGTTATGAATGCGACGTGATATTGTAAAATATTTCATAAAATATAATTATGACCGTGTATAAGAGCAACATAGAGATGAACCTGTTTACCAGTTTTGTTTTTTTTTATTCCACTATCATATCTCACAAGGGAACCGTTCCTCACCGATTTTGATGGGCTTTGGATATGTTGTAGATTATAAAAAAAATAGACCCATATTTTTTTATCAGCGTATCTCAAAGTTTAGAGGGTGAAAATTAATGAGTGGGGGGTAGGGGAAAGTTAAAAAAATTGATATTACAAAAAAAGTGAATACACCACTATATAGAGCACAAAATATCATAAAACTTTTGTATTAAATATTTTTTAATATATCGCATAGTTTCGAAGATATTTGCTAAAAACGATAAAATCCATTTTTTTTCGAGGGGATGTTTCACTCTCTAAACCTTGAGATACGCTGATAAAAAAAAATATGAGTATTATTTTTTTATATATACTCTACAACATATCCAAAGCCCATCAAAATCGGTGAGGGACAGTTCCGATGGTTCCCTTGTCAATGTCAATAAACGCTCATTGAGTGAAAGACTTAGGCTCAGTTCCACAATTCACGGTTAACTCTTAACCGAGGTTCAACTTATTCATTGTCTCTTTCCAATTCTAAAATTGAAAAGAGATGAGAAACAAGTTGAACCTCGATTAAGAGTTAACCGTGAGTTGTGGAACTGGGCCTTAATCGATCATCAATGCAGCTGACATCGGTATCGCATATCGCTTAGAAACTACAGTCAAGAAATTTAATACTGACGCTTCCTTAATCCGTAATCAGCGTTCAGCGTAATCATCCGCGAAATCTAAGCCTTTTCATCATTTATATACTGTGATATTAAACTGGTATATATGTATATACATATTATATTTTATATATATAAGTTTGAAAATTTGCGAATCAAAATACTACGCAAAGAAAATTTTCGAAAAATTAAGTAAAAAAGTCATTTGTAAATTTCTATTTTAAGCAGCAGTTGTTAAGATAATAAGGGTACAAGTGTGGCCAATTATGGACTACACTTAGACGATTACCTGTCCATAAGTGGCACATGCGGTAGTGCAGTGAACGCTGGTAAGTGCACACTTCAGCACTTATTAATACTCACGATTAACGTAATTGGCCACTCTTATGTCTAAAAAACTAAAGCTTAAGATAAAAGTTTAACAAATAAACTTTTTTTACTTAATTTTGCTTAAGAATTTAATTTTACTTAAGAATTTTCTTATTATAGTATTTTGATTTGCGAATTTCCGGACACCCTGTGCGTATATTTTATATTTATATATATAAAATATACTTTGCGAAATATTCAGCAATGTGTATAAATATATATATTAAGCTGAATATTACATGTTATAATATGAATTGTTTGGAAAGTCCATACGAATTTTCAAACAAAGTTAAATAAAAATTTTTTTAGTTAAAAATAATTTTAATCTATAATAGTATAATATATGCACCATTTTGTTTCACGATATTTTTTCATCTTTTGAGTAATTTCATAATTCCTCTCTCGTAGAAGTTCTATATTTCTGAATATCATTTACTAAACAATTCGCAATAATTAATAATTATTTTGCATTCTTCAATATGTTACTTATATTTTGTACTCAACGCAAAATTGGTACAATTAAATCGCATATAGAATTCCCAAAAACGAATAAAGATGATTATTTTAGAACAAACAAGCGACGAATAAGTGGAGTAGCTCTTCTTTCCGTGCAATTTTATTTCTCGTCTGTATACTCGAGCGGCGGTCTCTTATGATTTCAGGCACGGAGAGATGCCCTCAGAAGGGAGTCGTCAAGCTGGTGGCCTCGAAACTGCTAAGGGCGCTGTCCGAGAAAGGATTGGCCTTGCTGGTCAACCACGGCATTCCAGAATGGAAGGTATAATGAGAAAAAGAGGAAGAGATGCGTTTGCAAAACGATTAGCGATCGCGAGGCTTCCTTTGATTGATCAGGCGCCGGTGTCGGTCTTGCCGATTTCCGTCGCTCGCAAATGTGGCCAATATCATGCGCTGTCGCAACTTACCGTCGTGACCAAATAATTTGAAGCACCAATTTGAAACGACTTGAATAATTGATGACCTTATTGCAATATTGAAATGTCGAATTCAAAATTACCTGAAAAAGAAACAACGTTAATTATTGAGCTATTTTGTACAGACATCCGAGAAAATATATTAAGAAACTTTTTAGAGTTAACGACTTTGCTGACAATTACATAAAAATACATTCTATTGTTAATCTTAATTGTAGTAAATTCACGAGGCTGAATAATTAGCAATAATTAGTTAACTAAAGCATAATTAAAAATAAGCTTTGATGCTAAATATTATTTGTGAATACAACATTATTTTTGTTGATATTAATTCGTGATACATAAGGCTGTTGGCGTTATAATTAGTTAACAATAGTAGTTAATAATCTTCTCCTCAACTAAGTGAGAGAACTTTTATATGAGGAATGTCCGAGTTTTATAATTTACATAAATTAAAGATTGTTTTTCCTTTCGTTATCGAACGCTTATCTCGGAATTCGATATCTTGGAGCAGCGAGTAAGTCAAGTAGCAGTTGCGTTTTCAAGGGCCCACGATAAATACAATGCTTGTTGCGCGATGGCCTTGCCGGCATTCATGCTCGCTATCGGAAACTTAACTGCGGGTGATACGGCGACGGCCGTATTGCAGTATTTCGCGCGATAATCCGCGCACTACGACTTACGTACTTGCAATCGCGAACGTTCGTCGATGAGTAACGCGGCTGCAAGAATATTACTCGTGCTTGTACACGCGCAAGAAAACACACTGAAAAAAACATTCAGACGTGCCGCTAATACATCACAGCAGGAAGATAAGACGTTTTTTCAAGGATACTTTTGTAAAGTATCGCCTGAACGAAGTTCGTAAGATTTCGATTCGATCCCGAGCACTAGTCTCAATGTGCAGTAGTCAGAAGGTTCATTAAAACGCCAAGTAATCGCTTATCGTTTAAGATAAGTATACCCGAGTGAACCTGACGCAAGTCATTAAATTTAAAAGGTGGTTTTTGTTCAATATGGATTTGATTTTTAATTTGCCCGTATTATCGATCGGTAGATTATCGGAATTAATGTTAGAACAGCCCACGGATCCTTTTGTCTTCCTTGACACTTTTTCTAGATACGTAGAAAAGAAATGTTTGAGATTAACCATCGGCTTGTATCTTGATAAAGTTGATTTACTGTTTTTGCCCCACCAATTCCGACGATCGCATCGTAGCACTCCAAAAATTTCGAAGTTTATAAGAAAAAATCGCCACTTTCGTTTTTATTGATTGCCTTAGATCTTTTTACACAGTTTGTGTAAAGAAACCTTCATGCATCTTTAAAATCTTTTTATCGATTGTCACAAATCTCGCGATTGAATTATAATTTGTGAAAAGAAAAACGTCTTCGCGCGTCTTCGATCATTTTTAAAGATCTGTTTTTTATTCCTGCACTAGAATTCTCTTTCTCGTTTTCGCTAAATATCAAACATATTATATCTATCTCATTTTAAGTTCCAAAAGTTCGGCCACAGAGAACAGACTTACTGATTGCTTCAGATCTCGCAATCAAATCACAATTTACGGGGAAAAAATCGTTACGCGTTTTCGATCATTTTTAGCAGACTGCTTTAGCGGATAGATTTCGCGAGTCACAAACCGTGAAGCGACAGCAATGGACAATACGCGGTAGCAGAATAAAATTGGAACAAAGCCGCACTCGTCGTAATCGACGATGCACTTTGTTCCACGTATTGGTTTCCATTTCCAGTTATTGAAATAGCTCGCGGATAAGCGCGCGTCGACATCATGCAACGATTATTCCGCGACGGAATTAGGAGCGATAATTCCCGGGTTTTTTCCTCCATCACGTCGATCTTTTCTGACATTACGTAACGGATACATGCGATATTACGCCACCGATAATATCAGAATAAACATCGTGCTCGATCATCTTCCGTAGAGATACTGCCCGTGGCTAACACTACTTTCCATTTGATGACACAAATCGACACAATCGACACAAGCGTCGTTCTATCCTTCTTGATATTCAGAGAGTGACAAAGATAGAACTTGTGTCGACTGTGTCTCCTAAAAGGAAAGCAGCCTAGTGTCCGTATTCATAGTCGGGTCTTATATTTAAGGCTTCCTTAAATTTATCTTCAGATGCTCTACGAATTATTTCATTGGCTACTGAGCATCTAAAGATAAATTTTAGGAAGCCTTAAGTATAAGGTCTGACTATGAATACGGGCATAAGAGAACCGTGTCGCGTGACATATGACCCCCCAAGCGTCAGCACGTGAATCACTGCTCGGTCTTCGATACCTCGTGACATTACCTTCCCGATATTACTTGTCATTCGAGGAATCGCATGAATGCCGCGAACGCGGCGTGTATGACACCTTACGCAATGGCTGCGTTCAGTAGAAAAAGCAACTTTGCAACTGCCGTAAAATCTTTGATGCGATCTTGCCATTATTTTCTCACTGGATTTAAATGTATAAACCAATCATATCAAAGAATCGTACAACAGTTGCTGTTTTTTCTGCTGAACGTAGCCAATTATACAGCGTTCGACATGTCGCGTGTATTTAAAACCGCAAAGAAAAAAACTATAAAAATACCCAATCTCGAGAAGAGAAATCTTCATCGAAGATCGACGCGATTACTTGAGCAATTTGAATAATTAAGTTTGAATTTAAAATGCGATTATTCGCGAGGAAAATTGAAATAAACAAAAATCGTATAAATCGGTTGCCAGCGTATCATTTCTCAACGATTTATTTAAGAGCGATCGTTTATACAATATTGTAATTACGTAAGAGCGATGTCGCAAATCGCAATGTGGCTCGCATCAACGTCTTTTTTGCGAAAATATTAACTTCTCTATGCGCTCTGCTGCTCTCTTGTCTTTCTCTTTTTTCGCGTTGAAATTCTTTCCTAATTAGGTGAAACTTATCGGTCAAAAATATCCAATTCGCCATTTGCGAAACTGTTTATCGTTGAACGTTATCGCAATGATCTAGATATCATCGCAATGTGTACCTCCGTGTTGCACATGTTGCCCCTTAACAACGTAACGCGAAATTTGAAAGATACGATTAGAGTTGTCGAGATACAGGAGATACGCGAATCTCCATTCAGGGCAATAATTTTCATCGAAAGCGGATCTTCTTATCGTCACGTAAACATCCGTTTTTTTTTCTATTGTGTCTCGTTCACACCTGATGATGACGTCGAAGCGAAAAATCTCATAATCGTTCCACCTTGCAGGTTTCGTTATAAATTTATTTTCCATATTTTGCAGATGAAGGCAGCTTACAGAGTTCTAGATACATTTTGCGAATTGCCGAACGAAACGCGAGCAAAATACGAACGCGTTTCGCCGGATAATCATGGCTACGTTAAACCAGGCACGGAGAAGTAAGTTGGAAAATTGCGTTCTCAAATTGTTCCTGTAATTGAATTTGCCGCAATTCGATTTAATGAACGTTTTCTTCTATTAACCGACTGCGATTTGTAGCTTGATAATGATACGAAAAGCAACATGTATTGTTCGGCCCATATTCTGAAAATATTACCCCCATTAACCTGGACCCCCCACCATCGAAAATCAAATTCGCGATAGGTCAAAAATTTAGTGCTCTTTTGTTGCTAATTAGTTGCTCTAGAGCGAATTTTGTTGCTCCAACGGTTTAGCAGCAATAAAAAAAAATGGGGGGGGGTCCAGGTTAATATAAAGCTGGACCCTCTCATAATGAGAAAATATATATAGAGCTGCGATATCAAAAAAACAAATGAACCAGATTTTGTTGCTTTTTTGTTGCTCTAGGATACTGCAAAAAAATATCGAAAAAATCACATTGTTAAACAAATTCCGATAAATAATCAAAACTGCATTGTCGCGCGTCGCAACGTTATGACCAAAATTTACATGTATAGAATTTGTTACTCGCAAGTTTTTGGTACTAAAATGTTCCTTGGAACGTATACTATCGAAATATACCCGTTTTCGATTTTGTTGCTACCCCTAACATACGAAAAATCATTTGTTAAATTTTCCCAATATCATTTTTGTTGATAGATATTATATGAATTCTTTCTATTGTAACATCCGTCCGTCCGTCCGTCCGTC